CCCAGATTTGTCATTTGGGATCCAGTTTTGACGAACATTCCAATATTACACCCAGTTTTGTCATTTTCCCATGCGTAGCCGCGTCACTCTACTCAGTTACCAGCCCCCCCACGCCCCCCCCCGCTGCGGACGCTTCTACTCGTCCAGAGCCTCTACGGACGCAGAGTAAAGCGCGCAGTTTAGGTTATCTAGCGTACTAGCGTCCGAGGCAAACCGACAGACATGAAGGACGCCGTGCGATTCTCAGAGCAGACTTGAAGGAAAACCTGGTTTTGCGTCCGCACGAGGTTGCGCGTTCGATATCATTGCAATCCTGGATCGCTCAACCAAACCCGCCAACATGACCAACTACGTATCTTTGTCGCAAGCACCCAAAAGATGGCATTCCTTGGCGTAGATCACCGCGGCCATAGGTGGCGCGCTTCCGACACGAGGCTTTTGGGAGGCTAATAGGGGCACTACCGTCAAAGGTGTCAGTCCAGGACGCTCGCTGTCATCTCATCCCGAGCGCGATCTACGTCTCCGCACGTGGGTACTAGATCCAAGCTGTCGCCAACCTCCAGCGGTCAGCTCGGTACACGATGCGACGACGACGACTCGACAACGAGAAGCAGCAACGATAACGCAAGTCGAGCACGAAATGAGAATTTTGAGCCAGGCACGAACGCGTTTGCATCGTACTACGACGGACCGACTACAGTATGGAGTCAACGGTACGGCGGTAAAGACAACGGCGCAAAGCGGAAGGGGCTTGGACCCCCGCGTCGTCGAGTCGCCAAGACGTGTGGTCAGAACACAATCATGGGACGTGGAGGACGGCGGAGACGGCGCGAGTGTTATAGCCGCCCCACTACCACGTCGGACGCTCGAGTACTGCCTCTCGGAGCGCGATCGGTAGCTCAAGTGCTAGGTGGTAGGGTCGAGTACCATGGCGTCTCGTGTCCGCTGGGCTCAGCACAGTTAGCCCGATCGGCGAGCGCCAAGAATTGAACACTAGGAAGGCGACTTCGGGCCGCCACCGCGCCGAGAGCTGCCCGGTGGAGAAAGGTATCATTCCTCGAAAACTCTCTCGTGGGCAGTCCGAGTAATATGCGGTAGCGTTGGCGCAGTCGATGTTGGAAAAGTGGCGGCGGAGGAATGCAGCACGCCTCACACAAGCTCTCGAGCCGTCCCTCGCAAGGCGACGAGCTGGAGCGCTCGACTAGTCCATGGTAGTTGTCACTGTCGGTGGACGCGCAATAGCATCCAAGAGTATAGGCCATTAGGCAATGTCAGTGACCATCAAGTAGGTAGTTGGCGAGGAGGACACGCGGGCATTTACCTCGTGCTCCTTCGCAAGGCTTTGCCCGGCTTGTGCGTCGTTCGTGGTATCGTCCACACAGAGCTCCACGACCTTATCATAGTACCCACTGTCCTTCAATAGAATGGGAACTTCACATGAGCTTCTCAGTGTTTATCAGGTGAAGGTCCAGCAGTCTCAAGTATGACCGCTTAGGCATACAAGTACTTTTCGTTGGCAACCCACGTATACGGCGGCAGCTCGCGTTCGCTGTCCTTCGAGGTACGTACGAGCACCATCGAGAGCGAGTCGCTTCGGGGCGTCGCCAGCGCACGCACTTCGTTCGGCAGTGCCATCTCGTCTGTGGGCCAAAGGACAATGTTTTCCAGATTCCAGCGCGCGGCTTCTTCGTGCAGCGTGGGAAGGCACGCAGCAAACACCTCGGGCGTCGACCCGTCGTACTTGAGGATGTCGAGCTGGTTCTCTTCAAAGTTGTGGGCCCAAACGACGTACCCGAGGATGGCCTTGTCGTCTTGTAGCACGACACCAAACGTCGTCGGCAGCGTCGATAGCGTCAAGTGCTTGCGGGCAAAGTACGCGTGCTGCACGTGAAAGAAGGTAACCGCATCCGCCGAGAGCAGAAAAGCAAGCTCGCCCGGCTGTAGCCGGCCGGCTACACGCTCCTGGTCGTGCGTAGCAATGGCTTCGAGGTCGGCGGGTGTGGCCAGCGGCCGTAGTGTCCAGCCAACAGGCAAGCGCGTGGATGCTGGCGTCGTGGCGGGCAGCGAGATCTCCAACGATGGCGCAAGCACCCAGCCTCGCGCCGCGTAGAAGCTCGTGCCAATGTCCGAGTAGAGATTGACCACTGTGTACGCGTCTTTCTTTTGGCCAAGGAACGCAGCAAGCATGGCCGATGCGTAGCCCTTCTTGCGGTGACGCGCCGGCGTGTACACGGACGCGACGCTCCAGCCATCGAGGTAGACGAGGTCGGCCGAGGGGCTCCATGGGCGAAGCACAACCGGTCGCTTAAAGACCTCGAGATACCCACGCAGGTCGAGCGTGCTCGGGTCCGACGTCGGCACCAAGACGTAGTCGGTCACAGCGTCATCCGCAAACGGCGTCGCGCGAAACTGGTCTTCGCGGTCGAGGTACTCGTCGTACGTGAGGTGCGGCGCGCCCCACTCTTCGTATGTGAGCACGTCGACCTGCGTCTCTTGGGCGTCGTCGCCAATGCGCAGCTCCACGTCCAGCATGGTTGGAGTACTAGCGTCCATGGTTGAGCTGTCGACACCTGCTGTAGACAGGCATCGGGATGTATCCGTCTAAAAACACCCCTCTTAGCGCCGTTGACTGTGCTAGAACATGCCAAGACAGCTCCACGTACAAGGATACAGCTTCTGTGACCACAGGAGCAATCGATAGTAAGCACGTCGTGCGCGACGCTAGCACGCAAGAGCATACTACTGCGCGAGGACAGCACGACTTCTGGACAGAGTTGGGTGTCGGAAGCCTCGTGCTCGACCAATGGCATTTGCCACTCAACCACAGTATCCGGATCCGCAAATTAGCGCTAGGACTCTGCCTGAGTGAGGTAAACGACCATCACTCATACCTAATTAGGCACGAGTGCACGTCGAAGTACGAACTTCGGGTCGGTGACAACGGCCAGAAGGCAAGAAGATCCGTGGCCGATGAACCCAGCGCAGCTCCTCGAGTCGACGACCGGCGCGCATTGTGGCGCCACAACACCGCTGCGCCAGCGGCCTCTGCGCCTCAAGCCATCGACGACGCTCCACGCGCACCAGGAAGCTGCGCTCGGCTGGATGGTCGGCCGCGAAGCCGGCACGTCGTCGCTGCGTGGCGGCGTCTTGGCCGACGGCCCCGGCCTTGGGAAGACGCTCACGACCTTGAGCTGTCTGGCGCTGCATCCGTCGACCGACCCGACGCTGATCGTCGTGCCCAACGCGCTCCTTGCGCAGCAATGGTACGCGGCTGCCATCCGACGTCGGGCTTATATGGCTCTAGGCTCGGCGAGATGGCGCTGCATTTCGAACCCGACACGTGGTCGACGCTCACGTACAACCCGCGCAAGCACGAGAAGCTGTCGTTCGACGCGTCGCGCCCGCCGCCCGTCGTGCTCGTCTCGCTGCACGACATGGGCCTCGAGTGGTTGCAACACTGGCGTTGTCATGGTCACTCATGCGCGCGTAGGCATCTCTTCCAGTCCGAGCAGAGCGAGCGCGGGCGCGCCACCTCGGTGCTCTTCCACGTGCGATGGCACCGCATCGTTGTCGACGAAGTGCAAGACATTCTCGGCTCGGGTACGTCGTTGGCCGCGTCGATGGTACAAGCGCTCGACGCCCACGTGCGCTGGGGCCTCTCGGCCACGCCGCTCTCCAAGCCCATCGATCTGCTCGGTAATTTCGTTTTTTGTAGATTTTACGACTCAAAATATCGTCGTGGATTAGGGCTCGCCAAGTACCTCGCCCTTCCGCCGTTCGACGACCCAGCCTACTGGACCCACGTCGACCCCCGCAACGCAGCGCATGCGGCGTCGATTCAGTCGCTCTTGCAGGACATTGTGTGGCGCACGCCGAGCACGTACGCTGTCGAGACACTGCAGATCCTCCCGCGTCAAACCGAGCTGCCAGTGCGTGTTGTGCACATGTCGGCGCTCGAGTTTGCGGCGTACCAGCCCGACTATGAACGGTATCCTACATCCTTTTCTAGTCTGTGACGCTATACATGGTGTGTAGGTTTACCAAAGATGTCGCCAAGCGCGTGCGGTCGATGCGCGGGCAGCAGGCGCAGCTGCCGCTCGCGGGCCTTCGCCGCTTGTTGGCGCACCCGTCGACGCTCAAGCTCTGCAAGGGCGCTTGCCACGTGGCGCTCAACACGACCACAAAAGACTTGGGACGCCTCCTCGATGACCTTGTGCGGTTGCGCTCCGACGCGTGCATCGCAGCGCTCGAAAACTGCTTGCACCGGTCGCTCGACTGCCCGTCCGAGCTTGCGCCAAGTGGGTACCGGCTGCTGCGCCGTCACATGAGTGTGTTTCGTGTACACAGCGGGCTGCAGCTGCGACTGCTGTGGACCATGCGGACGCTGGCCGCCCGCCCGACTTCGGTTCCGTACGTTGGTTGATACCGTAATCCTACCCTAACCCTAACTCTCTCCAGGTTCCGCCACGAGGTCCACAAGACCGTCTTGGCGCTGCCGTCCGTGCACGTCCCTCAGTTTGTGTGGCGCAAAATCTTTGCCGAGTACCTTGGCGGTGAAGACTTCACCGATCAGATCGACGCGCTCGTGCAGCAGCAGACGTCGCCCTTGTACGACGTTGTAACGGCGCTACCACCTTTGGTCGCAGCAACCCTATACCTACCGCAGGCCGCCACCGACATTGCCAACGCTCTCCCCGCCTTTTCAAGTTAGTCGATGGCTCTCGCGCGGTAGTTGACACTGCGTATATAGCGGCCGCGTGGACCACCGACTGCATCACTGCGATGCTCGCCGATGCAAGCCAGTTGCGCCTAAGCGAAGCCGCGTCCCGTCTTGGCACATACGAGCGCTGGGTCGACCTGCAGTACGTGCGCGTGATGTGTGCCAAGGTGAGTAGAATCTGCGCTGTAGCAAGCCCGAAGTGCTCGGCCGCATCGACTGGATGGCCAAGGTTCACGAGGTCTATGCACGTGCGATCCACGACTTTAGTAGCCTTATTGCCGCTGCCCAGCACCTCGCCACGCGCAACTGGCAGCGCATCAGCGTCGCGTTTCTTCAAGCGTAATACGAACCTAGAAGACGATGAGGACTTTATCTTTGGCTGTAGGTATGGCGCCTGCGACCACGGCCGTCGACGCATGAACCGCCGAGCAGTCCTCGGACGGGAAGAGCGCTGGTTCCGGCGCGACCAAGCACTCGGCCAAGGCCGCGGTGCGCAAGGCATTGCGGACATTTGCGAGCTCTGCCAGCTGCGCAACTTGGCCGACGACGCGCTGTACGACTCCAATCTCAGTCTCCTTGTCCGCATGTTGTATATGATAGGAGCTTTTGGCGCAGCGACAGCATGTCGCGAACGCTGCTGGCCCAGCTGCTCACGGCGCCGATGCGGACGCCGATGCGGGCGCTGGCCGAGGCGCTCGAAGCTCATATTATGAGCGCCGGCGACGTCGCCTACCGACTTGCCAACGACGTCGACGCGCTCGTGCGTCGGACGATCGAAGTGCGCACTTGGATGGGCCCGCAGCAAGACGAGTCGCTCGAGGTGGCGCCGGCGGTCGCAACCCAGCGCTACGACGCCGCGGTACGCAAGCTCGACGCTGCCATGCGCTACCATACGTATGTGACGCGGCTGCGTGCGCTGCAGACGACGCTGACCACCGGCGCGCCCGTCGACTGTGACCGCTGTGCTTCGTCGCTTGCTACCATGTCGACCTGTTTTGAAATGGAGGATCCTTACGAGCGTGGGCCTGTAGGGAGCAGTGTCAGCTCCTTGCGTGTGGGCACATGCTGTGCGAAAGCTGCTGTACACCGGTGTGCCCGATCTGTGCCCGGCCAAGCCCGTTTCCGCTCGACGCCGTGCCCCGTCTGCGCAACCCGACGGCGGGCAGCAAGTTTGACGTCATTGTCGACGAAATTGCGGCGCTTCAAGACGAAGCGACGACCAAGTGCATCGTCTTTTCGCAGTGGCCCGAGGCCTTGAGCCTGCTGCAGACGGCGCTCGCGGCCAAGGACATTGGGAGCCTCCACCTCCAGCGCACGAGCCAGACGGGCTTGCGCGACGAGTTCCAGGCCAACCCAAACGCTCGCGTGCTGCTGCTGCCGCTGAAGAAGTACAACCACGGGTGCGTCCACTTTGGACAACTTGTCGGAGATGAAGCGGACGTGCTAGGCTCAATCTGGTCGAGGCCACCCATGTGTTCTTGGTCGAGCCGACGTTCGAGCCGGCGCTGCAGGAGCAAGCAATGGCGCGCGTCCAGCGTCTGAGCCAGACGCAGACCAGCTACGTGCACCGGTGCGCGCTCAGATCGGAGTGGGGTGATGCGTACGTTGCCATAGGTATGTCATGGCCGCGACCGTAGAAGCGCGCATGTACGAGTGGACAAGCCGCACGCAGCGCCTCACCCAAGACGACGTCTACCGCGTCTTTACCAGCGATAGTATGTAGCCTAGTTAGTCGATCGCGTTTCTTCTCGTACCCCATATACTCACTGAACCACCAACGACACTGGTACTGGCTCGGTTAATGCCTGTAAAACATTTTTATTCCAACAACGACCTCTAGGGTTAGGCGTAGAGGTACTTTTCATTGGCGACCCACTCGAGACCGGTCACGGGAGCCCGACCTGCGCCTGCTTGGACGAGGAGCATGCTCAACGAGTCGCTTCGGGGCGTCCGACGGCGCGCGATTTCGAATGGCAGCTCCATCGCAGGCGTCGGCCAGAGACCGACGGACGCCAACTTCCACTGCCTCGCTTCCGACAGCAAATGCGGCAAAATGAGTGCAAAAGCATCGCCGCCGATGGCGCGGTATTTGAGGACGTCGAGCTGGTCGTCTTCGAAATTGTGGGCCCAGAGCACATACCCGCGCAGCGCGTTTGTTGCAGCGTCGCGCACGCAGAGCCCGTACGACGTCGGAAGATCGCAATACCCGAGACGGTGGGTCGCAAAGTACCGGTATTTTGCGTGAAAATACGCAATGTACTCGGCCGTGAGGAGAAAGCCGACTTGACCTGGCTGGAGGCCGGCTGTCATATCGGCTTGGTCACGGGCGGCGATGGCGTTGAGGGCGGCCATCGAGTCGATGGCTGAGACCACGACGTGGGCGCATGCTTTGGTAGAAGTCTGCGAAACGTCAAAGTCGGCGGGGAGCACGATCTCGTCGGACGGGTGCGGCGACCACCCGTTGGCATGATAGAGCTTGGTGCCAATGTCCGAGTACAAGTTGGAGACAATGTAGTCGAATTGCTCGCGCACCAAGAAGGCCTGGAGCGTGATGGCGCCATAGCCTTGCCGCCGATGGGTCTCCGGCGTGAAGAGCGACGCGACGCTAAATGCCTCTGCAAACATGGGCGCCGGCGCGGTGTGCGGCCAGAGAATGCAGCGCTGCGCAAAGACCTCCAAGTACCCGCGCAGGTCGAGCGTGTCTGGGTCTGTCGTTGGCACCAAGACATAGTCGGTGACGAGCTTTTGGCCAAACTTGGAGGCGCGGAATTGCACTTCACGCTCGCGGTACTCGTCAAAGGATACGGTCGGCGCACCCCACTCGGGGTACGTGAGCACACTCACTTGGCGGCTTTGGTCCGAAGAGCCCTTGCGCAGCTCCATTGGCGGCATGGCCTGTCCACTGAGAGGCTAAACGCACGCCATTTGGCCCTTAATTTTGGCCAATCCCATGTGCGCTTTTTGAAAAGCGTGGTTGTATTGGCTACTATTCTAGCCAATCCCGCGCGATATACGTGGACAGCTGGCGCAACGACTGCAACAAGGTGTGGCTTTCGTGTTGCTGGCAACAAGAACCTCGACGGATCATTGATACTAGCTGCTTGCAACGACTTTAGTATGTTCGTCATGGCATCCAAGGACACACCGTGCATCTAGGCGTAGAGGTAGAGCTCGTCCGCGACCCACTGAAACGTTTCAACGCTCGTATCGCCTTCGGGATTAGCATGATTGGCTTGCACGAGCAACATCGAGAGCGAGTCGTCACGCGGCCGCGCAAGCGCTCGTATGGATTCCGGCAAGGCCATGTCCTTGGTCGGCCAGAGACAAATGTGGTCCAAGCCCCACGCCGCGGCCTCGGCATGCAGCGTCGGCGCAAACGCTGCAAACACGTCAGTAGCGTCGTCGAGCGCCCGAAACTTGAGCACATCGAGCGTCCGTTCTTCAAAGTTGTAGGTCCAAATGACATAGCCGCGGACGACGCCGTTTTCGTGGAGGTAGACGCCGTAGTTGGTGGGAAGCGTCGTCATGTGGTGGCGGTGCACGCCACAGTAGCGGTGCTTGACGTGGTAAAACTCGATGCAGTCAGTTGTGAGTAAAAAGCCAACCTCGCCGGGCCGTAGATTCGCCATCATCGCCGCACGATCTAGCACCGCAATGGGCTCGAGCGCCGCAAGCGACGTCATCAAAACGAGTGACGCGTCGTGGACCGGCAAGCTTGTCGACGCGACGGGCAGCAGGATTTCGTCGGACGCGACAAGGTTCCAGCCGCACTTGGCATAAAACGACGTTCCGACGTCCGAGTAGAGGTTCGAGACGAGGTAGGGCAAGGTCTTTCCCGAGCTGCTGTCGGTCATGGCCGCCATGCGCTGGAGAAAGGCTGCAAGCATAGCCGAGCCAAGACCTTGCTTCCGGTAGCCTTCGGGCGTAAAGACCGACGCCACACTGTACGCATCAAACGAAATGGGTGGCGACGCGTCGTGGGGCCGCAAGACCGCGCGCCGCTGGAAGATCTCGAGGTACCCTCGAATGTCGAGTGTGTCGGGGTCGTTCTTTGGAATAAAGACATAGTCGGCCATCCACGCGCCAAACTGCGTCGACCGGAAGTGCGCTTCGCGGACAAGGTACTGCGGGAACGTCACGTGTGGGGCACCCCACGAGGAGTACGTGAGAACATTCACGCGGTCTTCTTGGGACTTGGACCGCAGGCGCAGCTCGAGCTCCATCAGTTCGCACCGTCCGTCGACTGGTTCAAGAAGTGCGCCATCATTTTGCGATCATCTCAAGGTGGTCGCAAATTGTGACCAATCAAATTCGTGTGTAACAGGCAATTGGATTCTTTTCGGCCAATCGGCGTTGCCTTTCAAAATGAATTCGGGGCGATCGCCACGCGGTCGGCGGCTTCGTCCAAGCCTAATAACTTTGATGCCCTGATACCATACAGTCGAAGCTCCCTAATTGCATATCCCGAAACTCGATATTCCTCTCCAGTGTGATACCGTCCGACCTTGATTTTTTACAACTCAAAACGTAATAAAATAAATTCGATTCACGCAGCCAACCATTTGATCCGCAAAGCAACCCGCCGAATGACCAAGAAGCCGCCACGCGCAGATCCTACCCAGTACCAAGCACGCCGTGTCCAACCCAGTCACGGAGATGGACGAGCTTGGCGCAGCAATGAAGATGCTCGCTGTCGGAGCTCGTGCAAGAGGTTTTGTCTTCGACGTGCCCTCAGCTGCAGAGTACGTTGACTCTGGCGAAACGGACGCCTTGACGCTCTTGGGGTACCTCACAATCGACCAGATTTGCGACTTCGTGAGCTACGTCGACGAGGATGATGAGGTCGCTTTGATATTCAACTCCGCTCTTGAATGCGACCAGTTTTGATCATCACGAGAAAAATATTATTCATGGGCTTTATATTTCTTACCTTGCACAATTAATATACCTCTCTGATGCATAAATTATCCACTATGCAATTAGGGGGCTTCGACTGTATTCGAGTCCTCCCGCAGTCTTCTGGCGATAGCAAGAAGGAGAGTCCACGGATACTGTGCTTTGTCGACTTGGTCACCTCTGTTGGACAGTGGTAGGCACGTAGGAGCTGGACACGGTGCAGACGTTGTCGGTCCTCGCCGTCTAGCACATTGCATCTGGACTGGCATGGCGGACACGACAATTCACGCCGTGGACATTGGCGCCACAGCAGTGGACATTTGCTGTCGCACGATGACGAATCTCAAATCTCCAGTGCAGAATAAACTCACTTCACCAACGAATCTCGAGTCAAACGCCTGTAAATTTCACAAAAACCTCTCTCGGCGGCTTTCGCCAGCATCATGGATCGAATCCCAACCTTATCATTCGTACAATTGTATCTGTTCCAAAAACGATCTTGTGACGCTTGTTCGTCAATGACATCAACCGCCTCGGAACATCGGTCGTTCTCAATACGTTTACTGTGATGACGCCGTCCTCGGTCTCGAGTGAACACGGCGGACGCCGATCGCGAACCCGACACGTTGCGTCGGATGCTTCGCGCTTGATCACGAAACGACGTACCGCCAAAGCGCGCCAGAGGCAAAGTTGAAGTAGTAGCTTTGCGATCAGCCGCGCAGAAAACACACGATGGCGAGCGTCTTCCAGCGCCTGCTCTACCTAGCACTTCTTCCGAGGGCGGGAACCATACTTTGCCTCGCGGAATCGCATCGCCTCTTGTGTTCAATTTGGATTTTTCATTTTTAAATCGCAAAAAACGATTGGACATTCCGACTTGAAGACACGCATCTTGTTCGATGCCGCCAAAGATACTCGGTCGGAATCGCTCGTATACGACGCCACGACATGCTGGGTGGTGCATGTCGCTTTTCTGATCAAGCATTTTTGGCCTTTCAACACGTGATGACGCACGCACGTGAGAGCTGTGTAAATAGTCTCGCAGATAGCGTAATGTGCCAACTTATGCAGCGCGGAGCTGCACCGCTGTCGCAACCAAGACGACGTCGTCCGAGCTTCAAGTTGCGGCCTTGTTTTTATCGCTGGCGCTGGCGCCACATTCGGATGGTGTGTTCGTGGCGCCGTGTTCCTCTCGCCTCCGACCCACGTGTAATAGGACAACCCCGTTTCATACTTCACTGCCACGGACGCAGGCGATTTGATGGTCTATTGCATAGCCTGCCGCGACCATTCCTTTGCATGCTGGGTACTCGTTCAAGTAGCCACATAATATAGATATAGATAGCTCAAGGATGCTGTTGCCGTTGTCCGTACACTCGCGTCGCTATTCGTCGATCAACTGCTGCGACCACCACAGAGGAATGGCAGGTGCAAAGTGAAAAATCCACATCGCTTATCCGTGCGTCAGTGAATTTGCCGCCATTCTACGCGATAGGATTGGCCGGATCGCAACAATCCGGATAATCTGCGCGACGCCATTGGCCAATGGCCGACGGCCGGTTAGAAATCGGGCTTGTCCCAGTTGAGACTTTGACCAGCTTCAGAAGCGGTCACTTTTACATCTGCCCACTGCATGCACATGGTCTGCCCGCCGTCGACCAAGCCGTCGGGCTTGAAGAAGCTATGGACCAAGGTGGTCCACCCGTTCTCGCACGCCGTACCGGCCAAGGAGCCGCCGGTCAAGGATACGCAAGCATACATCTGCACCTGCGTGCAGCTCAACGTGCTCGCGGCGCGCCGCCGCCAAGCCATGGCCCCGCCCGCGCGCGCAGCGGCCACCATGGCGCCCATCGCACTTCCCGATGAGTTTCGCATGGAGAAGAAGGACAAGACACTGGTCAGTGGGCACCGCGTGCCCTACTGCCCGATCCAGAACCAGCGCTGGAAGAGCTACCGCAAGGCGCGCACGTTTGAAGCGATCGCTGAAGACGACGATGCGCTGGACGCCAACCAACCGATCGTTTGCCCTGGCTGCATGGCGCGATCGAGTCTCTCGACAGTCACGAGCCACGACCTCGAGGACGACTACTAGACACAACAACCGTTCCTGGGCCTATTTAAGCGCAATCGCACAACCGTATTATTTATTTACGAATCCCAGAATCTCGTCGAGCTTGAAGCACCCAAAAAGCACTGCTGAACGCGCGCTACTCGACACGTCAGAAGCTGCTTGTACTTCAGAGTCATGGCATCCAGAATGCTGCACGGCGTTGAAAACGAACAACGAACGGTCGTCGGAACGAGGCGGAACGGCAAGATTCGTACTGCACTGCACGTCTCGTCTCGCTGCAATGTAAGGAACCAACGTGTACCGAAGACCATCACCGACACTGTCTCTCGGTCGTCTTGGTGGCGCGTGCAAGAAGCGAGCCGGTCGACTGTCGCAGATCTGGAATCTCAACGGTTGTCCCGTCCCATGTTTCAAGTCCATTGGCTGGATTCAGCGTGGACCCATCACCTCGGTTCGTGTTGGGCGATCTGCGGCGGCTCGTTCTTTGACAGCACAGAAACGCAGTGCGATTTTGCACGTTGTTTGAATATCGGTCGTCTCTCGAGGACCTTGGCTTTTTCTATGGCGCTGCTGTCCATGGCAGTGTACCTGGCAGTGTAGTGTTCTTAACGGCCGACGTCTCTGTTGCTGTCACTGATGCGCGTAATCACTCTCGTCCGCTACAGCCGCACAATCCCATCACGTGTACACGCATCATCCTAGCTTGCGTGTTCCCATGCATGGCTGCAGTATAGCCATCGTGGATGCTGCGGGCGCTGCCTGAGGACCCCCGGTCACCCATGTCTAGGCCATGACCTGACTAGGGGTCCTGCTGCCTGGTGGATGCGGCATCTTCACGTTCCAGCTGGTGCAAATTGCAGCTATCACCGCCTCGTTTATTCATTTGCCGATTTGACCATGGCCATCCACGACCGAGAGACCGAGCCAAAAGCCGCGACGCTCAAGTCATGGTGGCGCAAGCTGCTACTGGCGAAAGAAGGCGCCGAGTGCACGTGCCACAAGCTGCCCTACCACGCCGACGCCAAGCGCCGGGCCAAAGCCGCCAACCAGCGCCAGAAGAAGACAACCATTTTCGTCTGGTCGCCGATGCAGCTGCCGCGGAAATACAAAAGCGATATGCGGAATCGCGCGCTCGTGGGCGGCCGCCCCGTCCCTTTCATTCCGTCCCAAAACGACAAGTGGAAAACCTATCGCAACAGCAGCTCGTTCGAAGCCATTGATGAAGACATATTGTGCACATTTTGCGCCCTTCGATGCACACGCGACGAGAGCGACGTGGACACGTGGTGATTTTGCGTTGAATGTCATAATAGTAATGGACGTTTTTGAGAGTTTACGGAATAGCTCCACGTTTTAGTACATCGCTAGCGCATGCCAAGATTCGATTCACAAAGAGAGGATAGAATAGGACGCTATTACCTGCATTCGACACGACCCGAGTCCAGCTACAGATGGCACTCCCAACCTCAATGGACAAAGTTGTGTCCTGGCGCCCAAATAAAAAACAGCAAGTCCAACGGCAGCTCACAAGATAATTTCGAGCTTGTCGGGGCATTTCATTCGAACGCGCAGGATCGATGGCGATACCATGGGCACTTTGTGGGCGGTTCAACGACGAGAGCACCGCCACGAAAGACTTGTCGAATGTATCAACTGCATACATTGATACTCTAAAAACACACACTTGACACAAATGATCCCGAGCGCGCCAGTGCGAAGCCGATCGCAAGCAACAATGACGTCGGGCTCCATCTTCGTCATGCGACGGATCCGAAGCGCAGCTCTTGTCTTTGGACCCAAAAGACGTCGCACGTTCGGTCGTTCGTTCGTTCGCTGTCCACGGGACAGAGACGTCGACGCATCCGTGTCGGACTGCACCCACTCAAGCTCAAACTCAATGGACATGTCGTTCTTGCTTTCGACTAGAGACAGTTGAAGCGATGGTGTCACGCATTCGTGTCGTGCAAGGGCATACAACGCAGCCATAACCCGTTTGCCACAGGAAAAATCAATTTTTTTCATTTTTGGTTGTGCGCGGCTAGATCATGAAATTGGGTACTAATAGCAGACACGTACTCATACCACCTTCCACACCTGACACATCTACCCCATGAAAGCGACTAAACTAAATTAAATCCATCCGCGAAAAATGGCGATCGTCGTCACTCCACCGCGCATCTTCCCAAGGTTCCAGATTCGCACGTCAGCGGCCTCGGAATATGTGTCACGAATGTCGGTCAACGGGTCGTGATCACCGAAATCGAAATCTGGCGTTTGAAATCCACCACGCGCAGCTTGCTGGAACGCGCATTGTGGTACATAACAAAATAAAATAAATTAGCCGCACAGTCTATAAAATAGTATAGGATGGTTGTTGGAGGTTGTGAATTGAAAAATGCAGAAATCGAAACGTCGACTCCCATCATTCCAGTGTGCTGATGGCCATCATGGACGAGCGCCGACCGCTCGGCTGATAGGCGTTTGACATGTTAACTCGCAGATACGCCCGCAATTTTCAATACTCTATAAAGTATTACTTTTCTACAATGTGAGAGCGTCTGGAGCGAAGGCAGACGAAGCACGATATCTGCATGTCGAAGCCAGTGAACGCACGTGCATGAGAAGCCGAGGAAGATTCTTTCTTCTCAGTTCCTCACATTCCAAAACGCCATCGGCTTCATCGAAGGACGATGAGCGACGACTTCAACGTGGTCGGTACATGCGCCATGAAGGCGGTTGCGTTGACGCCAGCTTTGGGCTGCGGCCATCAAGCTACTCCTTGTCCACGATCCCGGTTAGTCAACGGAGTTCGATTATCCGGACAATATACTGGATCGTTGTATGGCTTGGCAGCCAACGGCTCTGTATCCGGATGTCGGAAGCAGAATGTAGGTATTTCGAACGTTGCGATCGGCGGCTGTCAGATTAAGATTTTCAGCATGGCACCCAGCAAGCCCAGCAAGCTCCGAGCGTGGTGGCAGCGGACGCTGGCCTCGGTCGGCCCGTGCAAGCAGCCATCAACCAAGGTGGCGCCAAGCAAGGCGCGGTACATCTGCACGTGCGTCTCGCTCAACGCGCTGGCGACACGGCGCGGCGCGGCCCCGATCCGCTACGACGCGCCGACAACACCCATCATGCTGCCGCGCGAGTTTACCGCCGAGGCCAAGAATCTCTCGGTCGTCGGCGGCAAGCGCGTGCCGTTCTGCCCGACTCAGACCGCGCGCATGAAGAGCCGACGTGCAACGACCACGTTTGCTGCGATCGCCGAAGACGCGACGACGTCGGGCGGCCAAATCGTGTGCCCTGGCTGCGCCGCGCGCGCGCGCCTGAGTGCATCCGTCACGCACTGCGCCGAGCTCGACGACGACGACGACTCGGACGAAGAGTACTAACTTATGGGCCCATCGCGACACTAGATTATTGGCTATAATGCACCACCTATTTATCTTGTCTCTTGCTTTGCATGGCCTTTCCTGCACCAAAGACGCAAGCCGGCACCGAGAGAACGTGGTTTGGATGTGGCAGCAAGCTCTTTTCCTTCCTAACAATGGACGTCTATCAACGCGAGTTGGTCGTCGAGACCGAATGCAGACGAGCGGTCGGGACGCGCTCCAGTGCGACGTACAAGTACCGCAGTATTCGTTCAGGCGCGTTGGCTCTTCCTCGCCGAGACGACGCCACCGGGTCCGCCGTCGGAAGCTGCAGCACCCAAAAGATTGGTCACCGCCTCATGGGACAGTCGACTTTCCGAGCTTGGCCGAGCTCGGAAGGATGTACCACTCACCGGCTGTTCTGTGTTAGTCGATTCCAAGTGCGCTGGACGTTGAAGTCGTGGCTCCGAGGTGCAGGCCTGGTCCTTGCGCACGTCGTGGGTGGTGGCGGCTGCAGATACACCACAACACAGCGTGTGGGATCGACGATGCTACGGCCTGCGACCGTACGGTGCGTTGCAGAGGTAGTAGAACTGATGGTTTTTTAGAGCCGCCCACATTACAAAACTTCTGAAAATAATGGGCTTCAACGTCCACCGTATCTCTACGTCGTTGTCGCTAACGTCACGCCCTTTGCATCGCTGCGGCTGACATCGTCTACAGAGCTGCGAGAGCAGCAAAGCCCTCTCCGCCCGGGATGCGCAGTGCGGTGGTTGAGCCCTCGACCGCCTTGACGTCGCGCATGACGAACGGCGTAGCTCATGTTTATCGACGGCATCAGTCCAAGCTAAGCCGTGGGACGTCCCCATATGTCGTCTTGGCGAGATGCGCGATGAAATACCGTCACTCTGGCACCCTTGTCGCAGTCGCACCGGGGTTATTGGTGCTGTTCACTTTCCATTTTGCCACATCCAATACACTCCTACCATGGCCATTCGCCTCGGCGCTACGACGTCCAAGACACCCAAGACGAACGACAAGAAGACGTTGAAAGGCTGGTGGCGCAAGCTCGTGGCCAAGACGGAGCGTCCAACGCGGTTTCCCGTCGTGCCCTTGCCAGCCAAGTACGCCAACGAGTCCAAGCAAACCACCGTCGTTGGTGGCAAGCCCGTGCCGTTCCTGCCGCACCAAGTGGCGTCGATGAAGGCGCGCACATCGGTTGATGAGCTCGGGCCAATTGACGAGCTCAAAGAAGGTGTGCAGCCCAAGAAAGCCGTGCATGACCCGACAATCGTCGCGACCAATATGGTCTTTATGATGTCGTCGGCCATGTGATGCAACGTCATAAAAGCACTAGGAATAGTTAAGTTATACAACATTGAGGGTCGTCTTTCCTCCTTTGTACACTGCAGCGACGAGCGAGCGGCCAAAGAGACGGTACGTGGGGCATTGTCGACGCAGAAGGCGCCACTCGTCCAATCGAAGGCGCTGTTGGACTGCACCGGTTCAACTTTTCTTGTTTGGTGAGCTCCGTATTCTGTCGCCGCTTGGATTCCGCGATGTTTATTCAGCAATTTGCTCCGATTTGCCACATGACAATAATGTTGCCACCAACATTTGGCTTTGTGCCACCAACATGTAGCTGCATCATACTACACGCTGACCTTGGGTCCCGCATTGCCAAGGTGGCGACATATGATTGATAAATCGCCATGGTAGAAGGACGCGGCGAGTACGTCTGCATGGTTGTCGCCGAGTAGGGACGCTTGCGCGGTGATCGTAGCGGTGAGCAGCAGTTCCCACTCGGTGCGGGGCTTGGACTGGTGGCCCATCGCGTACGCCACCCGCACTTGCGAGAGGAGCGTCTCTTGGTGGTGGTCGCCGAGGCACTGACGATAGAGGTCCCGCGCACGGCGGTGGCAGCGCTCGGCGTCGGCATAGAGTTGTTCGTCGTCAAAGACGCAGCCGAGATGGCGCGACAACGCTGCTTGCTCCAGCGGCGAGCGTGACGCTGCGATCGACGCCTCCAGTGTCGTCTTGATCCATGGAGACAGGGTTGAAAAGAGACGCCGGTCCACCGCAATGAACGATGTCTCGGCGCGAATCAAAGCAAAGATACCGTCGCGGTCGCTTGGCACCGTAGTCTCGGACGCCTAGCTCTGGATCGTAGCCAGCATACCGCGGAAGGCGTTGTGCTTGGAAATGTCGTTGAGAAACCGAGCCTTCTGGCCCCGCGCAAGTGCAATCTCAAAGCGCGGCCCAGTGTCACGGCGGCGTAGACCTCAAAGACGCACCAGCTCCGGCGGAGCACGATCGGGTCGTTCCACGGGTGCATGATCATGACCACGTTGCCGATGGCCGCCAAGCTCGTCTTGAACGTCGACGACCAGTGCTCAAACGACTGCGCCGCCACGTGCTGGTTGTTGTTGAAGACGCAAAACCAAATGACGGCGTCCGCGAGCACGCCTTGGTCGGCGAAGAAGCACTCGAGGCTGTTGACGGTCTCCAAGAAGAGGTACTGCCAGGCGTGGCTGACATACCAGTTGGCCGGCGCAACGTACGCGGTGGTCGTCGAGTCGTTGGCGAGATGGTCGACGAGCGAGAGCCCCGAGGGTTTGGTCATAGGTACGACAAACTCAAAGCAGACGTCGGCGGTCGTCGTGCCAGCAAAGGATGCTTCGCCGCCGTGGTCGCTGATGAAGCGACGGAGGTAGGCGAGGCGCACGCCGACTGGTGACGCCATTGCGATATTGTTGGATTCCTCCTGTTCTTCAGGCCGCTCTTCAGACAGGCGGGTAGCGCAGTCGTGTTTGGGTGATTTTAGATTGCTGAGTGACTTAAACCATGCATGTCTAAAACAACACAATTTGAAGGTGAACGGCCAACTCGGAGCTGCACGCCAGTGACGCTGACCATCAGAGCGTGTTGCTGCATGTATATGTGAGGTATAACCTTGAGCTAGTGTGCAGCTTGCAGTTCTTTGGGTCTGATACTCCCACTGTACACTGGAAGACGAGGTGGTTGCCACGCGGTTGCCACGTCATGATACGACTATTGTCGTTGGGTACTGACGCACCTCTTGCAGCTCTCGCATCCAGGAACGGATTCTGTTGCGAATCTGTGCTTCGACTCTGCTGGGTTCACATCAGCGTAAGTTCTAGATCCCAAGATCCCCAGATTCGAATTCGAATCTCGACACTATCATTGCGATCGGCCAGCAATCGTCGATACTTGCCGTCCCACTACGAGCAGCCATCTCGGAGAATGCTCTGCTTAAACAACACGTCCATTGATACGCTGTGCAAAGCCCCGCTGCACTCGTCGCCTATTGTCATGCAGCCCAAGCACCTTGCGCAGCTGAGCAAGCGTCCGACAACACCCGTGGTCCCACTGCCGGCGTGCTACGCCCACGCCAAGTACACAACGTCGCTCGTCGGCGGGAAGCGCGTGGCCTTTGTGCCGCACCAGGTGCGCCGGCTGCGTCTACGCCGCAGCATGAAGCTGCGTATTTCGCCCATCTACGAAGACGGCTACCGCCATTGTATGCCAAGGTCGTCGCCGACGATGGCGACTGGCCCGACGCTGGCGATGCCTGGCATGAGCTGCTATCTCTAGCTACCTCCCATTGCCATAAGTGTCGTGAATGTATATCTCGTCGTGTTGTCCTACGAGGTGCTGGAATATCGACACATATGCAGCGCAGTGCGGCCGATTGGGTGGGTCTCGAGGTGGCAGAGCGTCTGCCTCTCAAACCCATCGAGCCAAGGGACCCGTGCACGTACCTGCACGTCTGGGGTGCGCTATCACTGCCGTCGAATAGCGTCAAGAAGCGTATCATAATGTGCCTTCGGGTTAAGTTCTTATGACCGTACTCTGGGATTTCCTTTGTTATTCACTCGAGGCATCTGTTGACCTAGCCCTAGCCCACCCGACGCGGCTATGGTCGAATCGGGCAAACACGCGCAGGACTCGACGTTGTTGTACGTGTTGAACTATTGCAGTAGGAAATGACGCAGGGCCTTGGACTGCCATAACTGGAGCGACGCTTGCAGATGTTTCTCGAGACTCTTTTTGTCATCGTGGAGCGAGACGACAAAAGGGAGGAGCTTGCGCGGGATCGGCTCGAGCGCCACTGGGATCCCAGCCGGCGACACGCTTTGCAGTACCAACTGCTCTACCTACAACCACAAAATAGGTTACATATTTCAATGTTCGCATCGACAAGTTGTCTACCAGGCCAACGACGACAGTGAGCATCGATTCGAAAGCTTCAAGGTACAAGACATTTGTCAGCAGCGATCGCCGGTGGCTCGTACGCGCACTGCCCGTTGCCAAGAGGTCGTACAGCTCAGCCACGCTAGCACCACGACGTTGCACCGGCTAGTACTTCAACGAGGCTCACCGCTTCGCGTAGCGCGTCAAGTGTTGCTGGCAGGCTACAAAATCGACAATAAATCGAAAAATTGGAGAAAAAACTCTAAAAACTACATACCGTCCAGGATCGCAAGCATGCAGGTAGACGACGGAATGGCTTCGTTTAGCGCTTGCAGGTCCATGTCTGGTAGAGCGGACGTGTACGAGATCATCTCGTTCACAGGTCGAAACCACGACCCACGCGACGCCAAGACGGCTTGGTACGGAGCCAGTGCTGCCGAGAGCACTAGCAGACCATCGGGAATGGTTTGAAAGCGCACTGTCGGTATATTTGACGTCGGACACATGCGGGCACCGGCTTCGGTGATGCCAAGGGCTATGTAATACAGTATGGTACTCAGTCGGTGACAGACATCAGATATAAGACAAAAGTGTACAAGGATCGGCGACAAATTCAAGGCACATGACGGTGGGAGCCACGGGCACGAGTGTATACGCGTAAACCTAAATCATGTGATTCTCTAACAGAAAAAGACGGTGTAATTGCACCGTGCGCCGCTGGTGGCCAAAGGTAGTGAGGGCAGTTGCAGCCTTCCCGAGCTCGGTTTGCAGCATCGCGTATGGGTGAAACTGGCTTGTGTATGTGTGGAGGACAGCCAGAAGGTGGTCGGACGGACAGAGTCGCTACGAAAAACAAGACATTTTGTCCAAAATATCTAAAAAATTGACCAAAAGATACAAAAACACGAACCTCCAGCAGCACGAGCAGCACGAGCGCAGCGCAAATGTCGATCGTCGTCGTACCCGAGGGTGTTGCGTCCCATAACGTCGACTAGAGGACAAGGTTGTGTATATATGACAACATGGACGCTTCGAGTACCAAGTCGACTTCGCCGTGGCAGAGCTTGGCGCGGACGTTGGGGCCAGCAGCGCACATGAAGAGGTCGACAGACGCCGCCAACGCACTCGGCGACAGCGTCTCGTAGAGTCGATTGAGGTCGGCGTCCTAATGCGATAGTTGCATCCGAGTACTGTCGTAGAACGTCGTTACCGAGTCGAATAGGGTGCGCGCAAGAAGCACTTGGTGCTGCGAGCGCTGGCCAAAGCCGTCGAGCGTCGAGTAGTACGCAGCGAGTTGCGCGTGGGCCATGCCCCGGGGCACACTAGGATTCACACGTACAAAATCTAGTGCAGAGGAATAAGGGCAACGGCTGCGTGACAAGTGTCGTCGTACCGCAGCGGACGAGATATTCGAGTACGGGAATCGATAAAAAGAGCGAAAAGAGAGTTTGGCCGCTTTGAAAGGCATCGATCGAGCGTTCTACGAGGCGGCGTCGGGCCTTGGCTTGGACCGACGCACCTAGAGACAACCTAGTTTCACTCTGACACAAACCCTAATCCTCACCAGCAAATACAGTGTCGAGGTCCAAGGTCGCTACAAGGTCGCGGGTTCCCGCACAAAGTGGGGCTGTCGACGGTGCAAACAACGGCAGCGACGCGTAGACCAGATGCGCACTCGCATTGTCGAGCAGCACGGGCTCGGCCAGAAGCACGAGGAGCAGCGAGCCAAAGCACCCCGGAAAGTCCATGGGCGCGACAAAGCCATGCCACTAGGACACCACAACACTACTAGTTTGGACAGTCGCGAAGAAGGAGACGTACGACGAGGTTCCGCAAATTGAGCCCCGACGGAAAGAAGAGCAGGCGCAGGAGCTGCAGGTAGCCGGGCGGCAGCGCTTCGACGAGCTCGGGCGATTGCAGCAAATCGCGCAAAATCATGTTGGACTTGACGCCGTCGTTGCAGCGCGCATACGCGTTATAGAGCGCTCGCTCAAGGACTGTCACGAGCAGCGTAAAGCTGATGTAGTGGTGGCCAGTCGCCCAGTGCGTGCGCACGAGCGGCGGCAGGGCAGCGCCGTGCGGCAAGCCTACGCCACTCGAGTCGATGATGTATACCGTCTGTGCATGGAAGGTACCACTGCACAGTGCTTCAAAGCGCTCGCAGGTGGCCTCGGGCGCGGCGCGGAGGTGGCGATCGACGGCCAAAGCGACGGTCCATGCACAGTCGACGCCGTGGCCAGGTGCGTCCGAGTTGGCGACGGCCGCTGCAAAGGCCGGCCATGACACCGGCGCGCCAAGGACGTAGCCGTCAGGTACCACATTGTTGGGCGACGGCAGTTGCAGGCGGCGCGCCATGCCATCGTACAGCGCTGCGTGGACCTCGGGCGACACGGCGGGTCGGTATGGTTGCTGCATCGCAAATTGCGATTTTCAGCCAATCGGGAGCGCGTATTTTGTGTCCGATTTGTGACACCAATTTTGTGTCGACACAAACGCAGGCACAAAACGCAAATTAGTCTATGCGACCAACCGGTGCGATATTCCAACGCATGCAATGGTTCAGCGCCTGTCCACAATGCCTAGCCCCGATAGACCATCATCCACGGAAGCGCTTGGGAGTGCCAGAGTGTATATCTGAAAGGCATGGTGTTCTCTGGGTCGTTGGACACGGGTTGTGGCGCCTGTCCACACGACCTGGCGTCCAATCACGTCGCATTCGCGACCTGCCGCTGAAGCGCGTAGCCGCTCGTCCATGCCACAGTGCAATGTCGCCCGGGACGTGCTCACGCAGCCCGATCTGCGCAACCTCATCCTCGCTTACCAAGACGGCGTGCCGTGCTCGCTACAGGCCATGTTCCAGCTCTACTACGCCAAGCTCGAGAAGGTCCAGTACCACATCCACCCGGAGCTCAACCAAATGCAAGATCCGCTGTACATGCGCGGGTACCTCCTCTGCCGCCTCCTCCAAGACGACCACTGCGACGTCGCCCACACATTCCTCAACACCTTTTCAAACGACGACGACATCAAACTCCCATCGCGCGTCTCGCTTCTGGTCCGCAACACGATCGACAATGCGGCCCGCGCACGCAACTTGTCGATAGTGAAGCGACTGCACGCTCGACCGGCCATTGGCATTTGCTCGCAGCTCGCCATGGACATTGCGGCCGCCAACGGCGACCTCGACATCGTCCAGTTTCTGCATCAACATCGCACCGAAGGCTGCTCCCGACTTGCATTCAAGAAGGCCAAAAAACACAAGGCGGTCCTAGCATTTCTCAAAGCAAATCGCCCGCAAGACGAACACCGGCGCGAAACACGCATCCAAGCCACACTGGGCGGGGACGAGTACGACGGTGTCGAGTGTGTCCTTCAGTAGATTCTCAACTACGTACTTCAACTAAGTACTAGTCGAAGCGAGATTATGTTAGTATCTTGGCTAGGACTATGTTGTCTCCAAGGACAGTGCTCCGATAGCAAGCATACCCGCCGATGCGCATGAGCACCTCTGTAGCTCAAGCATACAAGATCTATTCTCCCCAGAGTCACGGGCAAGGACGTGCTTGAGTAACTCTTTACAGCACAAGTACGTACGGGTACGATAAGCGACGAATGGCCTCGCGGCAAATCGCAATCGCGGCGTCGTCCGTGCCAGTAGCGCTGACACCGATGCGCTGCCACGGACAGGCAGCCATGGCCACCGCTTCGATCATCGCCAGTAGCCCGTCCACGCCGATCGCATTATAGCCCAGGCCAAGCCAGCGCAAGGCCATGCTGCTCGGGATGGCTATGGCGAGCGCTCTCGCGCCATCGCGTCCGATCTGATTCAAGCCGAGCTCGAGCGATACGAGCTGCGGCAAAAGGCGGCTCAAGGCGGCCGCGCCGTCGCATGTGATACCATTCGTCTTGAGGTTGAGGTCGACGAGTCGATGGCAATGGGATACGGCAGCGTCTGCAATTGCGGTGGCACCTCCCGAACCAATCGCATTCGAGCTCAGATTGAGCTCTTGCAGCAGCGGCAGCGACGCCATGGCCGCCGCGATGGCTGTTGCGCCGTCGACACCGAGGCGGCTGCCACGAAGCGTCACGTGGGTAAGCGCGGTGCAGTGTGCGAGCGCGCGGGTCATTGCAAGAGTACTGTACAAGAGGTTGCTCATCTTGAAGCTACGCAGCGTGGCCGCGCAGAGGGGCAAGGCCGCAATTAATGCGTCGGCGCCGGCTTGCGTTTTGATCTGGCCCGTCTCGAAATTGAGGTCCCGGAGCTGCGGCGCCAGCGACACGTATGCGGCGATCGAGGCCGGGCAAAAGCTGTAGTGGGGCAAGTCGAGGGACATCAGCCGGGGCAGCGTCGGGAGAGTCTCGGTGACAAATCGAAGCAGCTCGTCGTCCTTGCGCTGCTCGTGCATTAGGAATGAGAGATGGAGCGTCTCGAGCTGTGCATGCTGGAGGCACGCCATGACGCTGCGCATGCCGGCGTAGCGACAGCCGTGCACGGTAAGGGACGTCAACGTCGGCGGCACTTGAGTGTCGACAAAGTAAGAGTGGGCCAGCGCGCCTTGGTCCAGTGACAGCGACTGCAGCGTGCGACAGGCGTGCAGCGCTGCGCAAAAGGCGGCGACTGATGGCTCGTCGACCTTGAGGTACCCGAGCTTGAGTGCGGTGACGGGCCGGGATTGCAGCCAGGACGCGATCGTCGTCACGGCGTCGGCGTTCCAGCTCATACGATCGTCGCGCGCAAAGTGCAGCTCGAGATCGACGACGTGCGAGTGCGTAATGGCTTGAAGAAGGTAGCCAAAGTCCTCGGCAGCTTGCGCCCAGTGCACACACAACCTGGCCAGTACCGGCAGGCGTCGCAGGCCGGCGCAGAGTTCGAGGAGCGCGCCGCGGGTCCACGCCGCGTGCGGACTGAGTGTAACTGAGAGCGCCGTCAGTCGCTCGCTCGGCCAGGAAGGATATGGCATCGGGCTCGGCAGCGTCAGCGCGATCGAGGTCGAGGCGGGCGCGACGACACGGGCACTGCTCCACGAGAGCGCGACAGTGCCACGGTACAGTGACAAGGCGGCGCTGAGTTGCGCGAGCAACGCAGCGTCGTCGGGCAGTGCGTGCGGAAGGCAGAGTCGTGGCCAGAGCGTGACGCCGTCGACGCCGAGACGGCCACCGTACAGCGCTGCAAAGAGCGTACGCAAGCCCAGCAGCGGCGTCGAGAGCTGCGCTGCGGGTAGCGAGCGAAGAAGCACATCAACCTCGTGCTGCCGCGGTACGAACGCGGCAATTGTTTCGAGAAGCTCGGGCGCGAGGTCCGGCGGCGCGACGCGCGTCCGTTTGGCCATTTTGAGATTGCACTTTGCCGACTTTGGCGCCGTATCCGGAGGATCCGCCACCAGCTGGCAGCGACTGACCTATCAAAGCGAGGTTACTAAACGTGGCGAGGACCCGCGCAAGCCACGCGCCACGACCACTCAGTCGGCGCGTTGCTTCTACTCCGTACGCATCACATGAATAGAAACACTCGAGGTGTGTTGCCGAATCATCGCAGCTCTCTGTCATAGTTGTCTCGTCACCGTTGCGACGGCATCGCGGTTAGTTTTGGTTGTCATCGCCGAGCCGCACTTGCTACGGTGTTGTGGTGGCCGTGACGGCTGGAGCCAGCGCTATGAACACACGGCAGAATGACTAACCAAACCGACTACAAGCTGTCGACAGTCATCGCCGAGCTGCACTTGCTACGGTGTTGTGGTGGCCGTGATGGCTGGAGCCAGCGATATGAACACACGGCAGAATGACTAACCAAACCGACTACAAGCTGTCGACAGTCATCGCCGAGCTGCACTTGCTACGGTGTTGTGGTGGCCGTGACGGCTGGAGCCAGCAATATACACGACAGAATGACTAACCAAACCGAGTACAAGCTGTCGACAGGAACCGACCATCTCGACTCGGCTCATCGCTCGTCAAGCCAACGACGACAGCAAGGGTGTCAACCATCGCTCGACCGTACTGGACACCAGCATTCACAATCAGCCCGTCAACTCAAATGCAGTAAGTGTCCTTTGGTCTGCACCGCCCGTCTGGCGCTGTTGCCGCTTCACGGTCCAAGGGCATATGCTGTGACCTGTGACCTAGTGGCTGGTGTTGACTCCTCATGGTACTAGTATACTCGCTGCGGTGGGCGATACAAAATTGCACTGGTAAAGCATTACTCATTCGCCTAAGTCAAACAACACCATTTTGGCTCTGGCAGATTGGCCACAGCCTGCATACACGCGTCCTTCTCGCGCTTGTCCTTCGCAAGTGTACCTTGCAAAAAGACGGGGCCCGCGCGGGTGTCGCACTGCGCAAGGGCGGTGACGAGGGCGAGGACACCGTCTGCGCCGATCGGGTTGACCTGCAAGCCGAGCCACGTCATGTGCGCGGTCGTACGCAGAACCTGGCTGAACGCGATTGCGCCACGAAGCCCAATGCGGTTGAACCCGAGGCGCAGCACCTTCAAGTGCGCCCGAATCGCACTTGCCAGCGCCGACGCGCCGTCGCAGCCGATGGCATTGTTGCTGAGGTCGAGCGTCTCAAGCGCGGGTGGCAAGTGAGCTGCTAGCGCCGCCGCGCCAACGTCCGTGCAGCCTTGCTGGACGAGGACAAGGCGCTGCAGCCGCGTGCACCGTGGTAGCGCCGATGCCAGTGCCAGAAGACCCTCGTCACCGAGCTGGGTGTTGACCAAACACAAGTCGACGAGGCGGGGTACGAGTGCCATGAGATCGAGGTGTGCACTCGGTGGCATGGGCGTCGTGGCGCGGACACGGCAATCGAGCTTGAAATACCGAAGGGATGGCAGCTTTGCCGCTGCCTCGAGCACCGCTGCGCCACCCAAAGCCGTGTATTCGTCCGCAGTGAGCTCCAGGCGCTGCAAGGTCGAGGCGTCAGCGAGGCGACCGGTGTCGTCGCCCGTCAAATGAACGACCGCCGTGAGCGACGTGAGCACCGCTGGCCACGCCGCCCGACTCGACAAAATGCTGTGCACAAGGAGGTGGTCGTGAAGGCGAAGCGAGCGAAGGTGATTGCACGCGTTGAGGGCTTGCACAACCTCGCCATGTAGCGTCGGCGCCAAGGACACACGCGTCAGGTGCACGTCGCGCACGGGACGGGTCTCTAGCCACATGAGCAGCCGATCGACGCGGTGCGCGCTCCAGTACATAACGTCGCGACCCATGTTGATCTCGAGCGAGGTAATCTTGGCGGCAACGATCGCGTCGAGGACGGCGTCGAGGCCGTCAGTGCGGTCGCCCCAGGACAAGTGCAGTTCGCGCAAATGAGGTAGGTGGGGCAGCGCACTGGCCAGCCTCGCAGTGTCGAGCGAAGACCATCGACCTTCCAAACGCTTCTCCCATACTGACACGTGAAGGCTTGAGATGGCGGCGTGCCACAGGTCGAGTGCTGCGTCGAGGGCCTGTGGCGTGGCTATCTGGACGAGCTCGACCCGCGTTGTCGGGCACAAAGGTAGCGCCAGGGACAAGTCGTAGACGCGCACCATTGGGTAGAGCGAAATGCACGTATGCAGCGCAGCGAGCGTGGGTCTGTCTCGCATTTGAGCGGTCGCGCCAAGCGTTGGCCACACGTCGCCGGCTGGCTGCAGCGCGAGCAGGCGCCGCACACCGACGAGGGCTGGCGAGAGGAGGCTGAGTGGTAGCGCGTCAAGCAGCGCTGCCATCGTCTTCTGATCGGCCACGCTGGACGCGATGAGCTCGAGGAGCTCCAGCGAGAGACGCTCGGCCATCGGTGGCAAATCGAAGTGGCACCAGATAGGCCATCGCTGTTGGGTTGTAATCGAAGTTCGAAGATTCGCGCGTAGCCAATCAGCGACGCCTAAATACGAAAGATCGCAACACAGCAAACTCGATGGTCGACTCGACTGCACCGCCCTTCTCGACCAGAAGCAACGCCGTTGCTGTTGCTAGTAAGATGCTGTGAGATGCAGATAATGACGCACGGCCTTGTTGGCCACACATCAACATCAACACGACATTAACCGACGTTCGTACTCGTCTCAATGTGTATTACAGCATCGGATGCCACGTACGCAGATGCACCGCCGCGCCCATGAGAACGCGGGGTAGTTTCTCATCGTTTGGCACCTTGTGCGTGGTGCAGTAGTCGTCGTATGCTGCCAGTGTGGCCGCGAACGCGGCGTGCGACCCCATAAAGCGCCGCAAGCGCTCTTCGAGAAAGTACCGACTCAGCGGCGGCACGCATCGCAGTACGCTCGGGCGGTGCCGACAAAACGCACGGGCATCCCCGCTGTCGACGCAATGGCGGAAGAAATGATAGGCAGCTTTGGGGCACTGCTCACATCCGTAGCATGCGCCACGAAGCGGTTGGTGGCAGCCATTGCACAAGCGCACGGGCCACGTCTCGGGGCGATCGTCGGTGCTCGCATTGTACCGGCGCAGTTTGCGCCATCTCTTTGTCTCATTTTGCGTCGGATCCCCATACTGCAAAGCGTGGTAGAGCATGCTGGGGGCAGCGCGGCTAATGGGGCCGACATGGCGCAGATCAAACCAGAGCTCAAAGTACTTGAACGCGGCGGGCATGTCGCGTGCGCCATAGTAGGTGGCGCCAAAGCTAAACATGGTGTACGCCCACGCGACGGGGTAGTCTTTTCGGCGCGGAAACGTGTCGCGGAGCTGGCGCAGACGGGCGAGCGACGCACGCGTCCGCCGCAAGAGGCGGTCGCTCGTCGCGACATTGATCGTCGCATCCAACGTCTCCTCGTGGTCGGCTCCAAACACGCGGCTGTAGTAGGCGTGCGCGATCGAAATGTACCGAAGCGCTTGCGCCGGCCGCCCCCGGCTGTATGCACCCGCGGCGTGGATCGAGTAGAGCGGGACGGCGGTCGGATGCAACGTCATCCCATGACGGCGGGCAATGGTCATGCCTTCGCGCACCCACACGTCGGCTTGGGTCAAGTCGCCAGCCCATGTGTTCGTGCGCGCAAGCCGGACCACGGTCTCTAGTGTGGACGGGTGCAGATGCCCCGCGAGTCGCACGCGTGCCTCGTGGCAAGCGGAGTAGAGCTCGATCGCGCGGCCCGCCATGCGCAAATCTTCATACGCAACCGCAAAGCGATACAGCGTCGCAGCGACCGCTTGCGTGTTCTCTGGTTTGGCTTCTTGGGCGGCTAGAATGGCTTGAAAGCGGGGTTCCCACTCGCATACCGGTCGACCAAGTTTGGCCAGCATCGACACGTACTGCGACGACGCAGCCAAGGTCGCATCGTCCTCTGGCCCGAGGACCTCCGTGTAGAGATCGACGGCTGTTGCAAATGCGTCCGCCGCGTCCGCCCACTTGGTCTCGGCTTCGTGGAGGTTCCCGAGTCGTACCCACGACTGCGCTCGGCGTTGGCGCGACGGAAGCATCTCAATGTGCACCCGCAGCGTTTCCTTGATCCAGTGCGAGATTGTTGCAAATACGAGGCGGTCGAGCGTGGCAAATGACGTTTTGGCGCGCACCAAGGCAAAGATGGCGTCGCGGTCGGCCGGGATCGACGTGGCCGACGCTTCGCTGCGGATGTGGCCAAGCATATCGCGGATCCCACGACCGTCAAGCATGTCATCAAGCATCTGCCGGCGCTGTTGTGGCGCCATGGCCATCTCAAAGCGCGCATGGACGCGCGTCGCGACGTAGAGTTCAAAGACGCACCAGCTTCGGCGCAGCACCATGGGGCTGTGCCACGGGTGCATGACCATGATGAGACGGCCAATGTCGCGGAGCGCATCTTCAAACGTCGTGAGCCAAGTGGCAGTTGGCTGCATCGAGGCGCCGTGTTGGTTGATGTTGAAGACGCAAAACCAAAGAACCGCGTCTTCGTCCGCAATGCCTTGCAGCGCAAAAAACGCGTCAAGGCTGTCGACGGTCTCCAAGAAGAGGTATTGCCACGCGTGCGAGACGTACCAATTGGCCTCGGCTACAAAGTGACGGGTGTTTGGGTCCCGCCACAAGTGATCCACGACCGAGAGCTCGGTGGCTTTTGTGAGCGGCATAAGGAATTGGTGACAGACGTCGGCGGTCGTGAGCCCCGTGAGCTTGGCGGCGCCACCGCATGCGTTGATCAAGTGTCGAAAATACGCCATGTACACGCCCTGGGGCGCCATGTTGACTGTGACGCGAAACGAATTCTGTTGTCGTCCAGTTTTGAAAAAGACCATTGCCACGGGTCGTGGGTGTACGTCGAATCGGAGACGGTGATTGGCTCCTTGATAGCCAATCCTTGCGTTTCGATCGCGACATCTTGGTCAAGCATGGATAACGCTACTACCAAAGTCATGCCCACCGAGCTCCTTTTAGAGTTCGACATGTCTTGTACAAGGATTTCGATCTGAAGTGGTTTTATTGAGCCCATATTCTTGGTCGAGATTGTTGGCGATATATTTGTGTTTCTACTCGAGGTTAGGGTCCTTTTCCGCCCGAAACGCCACCCGTTTTCAGGCCTCGTGTGGTAAATTCGGTCTGACTATGCTCGACCATGAATGGCGCATCAAAGTAAAAGACAATGTCGCCGTCAATTCCGTTAAAATTCGTGGTAGGCCATCATGGACAATGTGGTGAGATCGACCCAATGACGGTCTCGAAGGCCGCCCGAGTCGAAGCGGAGTGC